GAGGATGCTTCACAGTGATAGGTTGGCCTCCTTCCACCAAGAGTTACAGTCCAGTGATTTCCTCCTGCAATCAGCCTGCATTGCAATGAGCACAAACTTCTAACCACATCATTCTGAAGTTGTGCTTTCACTCACATCACAGACCTCAGTCACACAGAGTGAATCTCTCAAGTTTAAGGTGGCATTCAGAGGGAATTTAGAACTGTAACAATGCTATCATGATTGTAAATATGTACTATGGATGAATACAGAGCAGTTATAGAGCAAGAACTCTAGTTGACAAATTTATAACTGTTATGCAGGATGCAAGCCAAGGTAGGTCAACATTCCACTGATTCCAGAATAACAGTTTCAAAAAGGTGTGAAGGGCACCACATCTGCAGCCTTCTTGAGTTTCAACCTTTTCCCCTCCTGCCACCAACTGCTCTCAAAAGATATGGGGCTATGAAGGTTCCAAAACCTTCTAGAGCATGTTTGAATACACTTGCAATCAAAAATGGTGGGTTTTTTTGTGGGAGCAGGTGTAACAGAAAGGTGGTCCACTAAGGTCTTCTGGTGTTGCCTAATGCAACTTCCTAGCCTTCTAAGTTGCCCGATAACCTGTAGATATGCTGTAAAGAATATCAGCAAATTCTAGCAAGTTCAGCCAATTCATCTAAATCATTTTTACTGCTGTGCAATAATTGACATCTTTTCTTTATTTTTAGAGGAGGGAAGGAGAAGGAAAAGTTGAATGTGTGACCATGGAAGTCATGAGCTGCCTGATGTTGCTCCTTCCTAGAACAAATCAGGAATGCATCCAGCCCAGTATCCCGAGTGGCCCAACTCACCAGGATATTCCCGATCTCCATGGCAGCAGATTCTCATCGACATCACGCCCCCACTGATTCTTCACGCCAGGACCATCTGCTCACCTCACTCCCTTGTATACATGCCAGCAGCCAATTTACAACAACCCTGACAGCAGTGTTGATAATTTATATTTAGGGATCCCCATGGGGTTTTCTATCAGGTTGATGGCTGTGCATGCACTAATTCTCTCCTAACCCACTACCCTGCATCCCCAGGACCATCAGTGTGGAAAGATATATGCAAAAATTCAAAGTAGAAGAGATATTTTAGTGTTTTAAACATACATGGTATTGAAGAAAGGAAGGTCAATGCCCAAATGTTGATACCCCCCAAGTGCAGTATTCACCCATTTCTCCCATTGGTTCAGCTTTGAATGGTGGGAATTGTCGTCCATCACACCAGGAGAGTGTCGGTTTGAGGGGAGACTGCCTAGCCCCTTAAAGAACATGTAGAACATTGGGAGACCAGGGAGAGGGTTGGGTGGAAAATTGAAGCCATCTTCTTTTTCAGTGCTTTTGACAATTGCTTAGATCATTGGTTCCCAATTTTTTCCAGTCGTGGAACCCTTGATTCTTTTATCCCATGGAACCCTAACACTATCCTTGGCTTTTATAAAGTTCTTCCTTTGTTTATCTACTCCTATTTAGCCTGAGGTTTGGAAATAAAGAGAGCATATTGTAAATGTAACCATAAACATGAGATTGCTCTGAACGGAACTAAACGAAGACTGCTCTAAGAGAGCTCTAATGTGCGCGTGAGGAACTTTCTTGGAACTTGCATGTGTTTTCTCTGGAGAGGTTGCAAGAATCTAAGATGCTGGGCTGGGATGAAGCATCTTCCATTGGTGTATGGATGTTTGTGTTACTTTCACAGTAGAGACAATCTAATAGTATTTTGGGCTGCTCTAGATCCCCCAGTGCTATTCTATGGTATTCTATGGTATACTTCTGGCCCAAGTATAATCAAATATAAAGTTTGCTTCTCTCTCTCTTTCTCTCTCTCTCTCTCTCTCTCTGTGTGTGTGGAGTGATTTGAGAAACTGCAAGTCACTTCTGGTGTGAGAGAATTGGCCGTCTTCAAGGACATTGCCCAGGGGACGCCCGGATTTTTTTTGATGTTTTACCATCCTTGTGGGAGGCTTCTCTCAAGGGGAGAGAAGCCTCCACATGGAGAGCTGGAGCTGACAGAGGGAGATCATCCGCACTCTCCCCGGATTCGAACCTCTGACCTGTCAGTCTTCAGTCCTGCCGACACAAGGGTTTAACCCACTGCATCACTGGGGCCCCCTAAAAAGTTTACTAATATCCACAATTTTAGGTATCCACGGGTGGGGTGGGTGGTGGGTTTGAACATACCCCATATTATGGGACGAGACAAAATTAGACCATCGCTCCTCCAAATAAGAATTCAACCCCCAACAGTAGTTGTAATGCTAGTGCTAGAAATAGTGGGAAACATACTGTATCTGCCCTAGATCCAAGCACAATAAACAATATATGTGATGTAAACAATTCAAACTCATTTAAAATATGAAATCATAAAAAATTATTGACAGTCTAAAATCATATTAAGCTATCTAAAAATTAAAACTGTTAAATCTTTGACAGGCTGAGTATCCCTTATCTGAAATAAGGGACCAGAAGTGTTTTGGGTTGCAGATTTTTCCAGATTTTTGAACACCTGTATTTGTGTGTGTGTGCGAGCGTGCATGTGCGTTCACACACGCGCACGCACAAGAGAGATAACTTGGAGAGGGAACTAAGCCTAAACACTAAGTTCATTCATGATTCATATGCACCTTATACACATAATCTAGAGGCAATATAATACAAAACTTTATTATGGTCTTATATTGTTTTGTATTCTATTGTATTCTATTATACATAGTCTAAAGGTCATTTTCTTCACAATATTTTAAATTATTTTGTGCATGAAACAAAATTTGTGTCCACTAAACCATCAGAAAGCAAAGGTGTTACTAATCCATGTTGACATTTTTTTTTTAATTTTAAGGTATTTCAGGATTCTGGGTAAGGGATGCTCAGCTTGTACATGTGCAAAGTGGATAGAAGCACTATTTTGACGAGGCAGAAAATTAATAATTTGCTCTCCTTCCACAACTGCTTCACTCTTATAGGCCTGGGGCAAGTAACATTGGTGATAGCATGCTGCAATCTACAAATGGCATGCTGCAAAGTCCTCTTTTGAGTTCATACCATCTAGTTGTTAATTTTTATATTTTCACAAGAATGTTCTCTATTTCTTCATGGCATTGCATTAATCACACATTCAAGTTAATGAAGCCTCCAGCTACTGCTACCATCTTATAACTCCCAAATCACCCGAAGAGGCCTGTTCATGTAACATACCTGTGGGTATGGAGACATGGACAGTGGGAGTGTTATTGTGCCAACAGCTGTACTGTTAGGCTTCTCAGTGCCAAAAGCTTAAATTGAGGGAATTTTTCAGCCTGGGGGGCCAAACCCAAACTCACGAAGAGTCTCAGGATAAGGTGTGCATTCCACCCATGGGTGAGGTCAGATGGAATTATTACCAATTTAGACCTTTTCCCCACTAAGCATTTCTCAGAGGTGTACACACTGACATGAGTAAGCCCTAGTTGAACCTCTTAGGATGCAAAATAAATGTAACCATTTCTTATAGTACCAGACCATGTAACACCTTCCTGAAAAATGCTGACCACAGAATCATGCTGGAGGATCAAATTCATGAATTTGATCTGCAAAAGTTAAACTCATAATTGTGAAGTGCCAACTGAGCCTGGAACCTCATGTCTCGGTGGTGACCAGGGGAGCATTTGCACAGTTAAAACTTGTGCACCAGCTGCGCCCGTACCTTGGGAAGTCTGACTTGGCCACGGTAGTCCACGCTCTAGTTACATCCCGTATAGACTACTGCAACGCTCTCTACGTGGGGTTGCCTTTGAAGACGGTCCGGAAGCTTCAACTAGTCCAACGAACGGCAGCCAGGTTGTTAACAGGAGCGGCGCTCAGGGAGCATACAACACCCTTGTTGCGCCAGCTCCACTGGCTGCCAGTTGCAACTGGGCCCAATTCAAAGTGCTGGCTTTGGCCTATAAAGCCCTAAACGATTTTGGTCCAATTTACCTGTCCGATCGTATTTCCCCTTATGAACCACTGAGGACTTTAAGATCATCTGGGGAGGCCCTGCTCTCAGTCCCGCCTTCGTCACAAGGACGTTTGGCGGGGACAAGAAACATGGCCTTCTCAGTGGTGGCCCCTTGGCTATGGAATGCCCTCCCTAGGGAGATCAGATCTGCTCCCTACCTCTTGACATTTTGGAGGCAAGTTAAAATGTGGCTATTCAAGCAAGCATTTAAAAATACAGAGTAGTTAATATAGGAAATCGAATGACCTGACAATTGAATTGGACAATGCTTGAGAATAATGAGACACTGATGATGTTGCTTTTATTGCTTTTGTGATGTCTTATACTGTTTAATGTTTTTACCTATTATGTTTTATGTATACTGATTTGTTGGAAACCGCCTTGAGTCGCCAATTGGCTGAGAAAGCCGGTATACAAATACAGCAAATAAATAAATAAATAAACTGTACATGAATCCAGTAAGAATTTCAAATTGTTTCCAACTAATGGCAACCCTAAGATGAACCTTTCATGTGGTTTTTGTGCCCACATTTGTTCAGAGGTGGTTTCCCTTTTATTTCATTTGAGGTTGAGAGTCTGCAATTGGCCCAAAGTCAACCAATCATGTTCCATGGCCAAGCAAGGATTCACATTCTGACCTCCAGAATTGTAATCCAACTCTCAAACTGCTACACCACACTGACTCTCTATGTGAGAATACAATATTACAATTCTCTTTGTGTACAGTATTTACACCCTCCCTTCACTTTTTGTTCGGTTCAATCAAAGGTACATCCAGTGTTTTGGTTAAAGCCCTGGACTTCAGTGCAAGTTTGATCCCTTCTCCACAGAATACCTTTAAATCCAGGTCCATGTGTGTGTTTTAATTCTGATTCCACATTTTAGGCAATATTTTGGAATGTATCATCTGAACCTCAACATTTTGCAGCATCCCTGATCTCCATGGTTGCCTGGAGAACTCTCAAGCATGTTCATAGTTTTTAAGCAATGTCTCATACCTTCCAGCTTAAATCCCCTTGGCACAAGTCCAGTCGTCTCCATGGTAGGAACCTCATCTTCTTCTTCATTGGAGACATTAGGTGGGAGTGCTCTTCGCCCACTCAGGCCACTGGGAATCACTTTTTTCTTCTGTCTCTCAGCATCTGTTGGTTCAGTCATCACTGCTATCTCTTTGATATCTTTTTAGAAGCAAGAAAGTAGGGAAGGGAAAAAGAAAAAAATGTTAATGAGTCAGCATTGTTTGAAAGCCTCTGTGTTACCAAGATAGGGGTTTTTTTGTTGGAAAAGATATGGGAAAACCAGAAACATATCAGAATATTAATCCTCTAGTTTTCTCTGATGGTTGCTACATGGCAAAATCTATCTGGAAAGAACACCAACTATTTTAAAACTATAGACACATCTGGGAAGCTACCACTAAGCAACTCCAAACTTTTTTAAAAAACAAAAACAAAACCATGTAACATATGGGAAATAGAGGAAGTTAAGTGATCAATATTCAATATATAGACCTCTTCAGTACTGAACTAGTTTCTATAAGAATAAGAAACTTTTATTTCATATCCCACAACTGATTAACATTCAAGATCTCCCTGGATTACTGGATCAAGAGCAAAAGTAGAAAAGGCTTTCTGGAAATGCCTCTAAAACCTATGACAGCTTTCTCACAGAATGCTTCATGTTAAATAGCCCCAACTCGCATTTCAAGCAACTGTGCAAAACATGGGCAAATTATTTGAACAGCATTAAGAATTCAGTCTGCTAGAAAAGAGATACCTTGTGTTTAGAAGCAATTCCCTTTCTTTTCTCCTCAGTTTCTCAAGTACAGCAGACTCTGTCAAAAGAGATGCCTCAGCATTTGCTATATATGGTCTCTCCCTTCCCACCCCCACCTCCACCCTCTTCCTCCTTCTCCTCCCTTCCACGCCTGCAACAGGACACAGCTCCCTTCCTCAGACATCAGCAACCTCAGTGAAGGCTTATTTTACTCTGCCTTTCTAGTCTGCCCTGCTTCCACACAAAGAGAAGATTCATGGAAGCTGCTGGGGAAATATTTGGCTCTTGATCCATGAGCCAAATTAGTGCCCAACCTCAGAGGTGTGCCTGAGGAAAAATGTAACAAAGCCATGCTCAGACAGAAGGACTCCCATTAAAATAGTCTCTATGTCCTTGTTAGCTAATGCATTATGCAGGTCATAGGACATTTCCAGAGCATGGACCTGTAAGTACTAAAAGCATTTACAATTAATTGAGAGTGCGAAGTATCTGCTGCTGAGTCCCAGCATAAATGTCTTTAGTCTACTGATGTAATTTGGAGAGCCATTGGGAAGTTAGAAGATGGACTTTAACACATTGAGTTAATATACTTTTTACAATCTCGTTCAATTACATTTACATTGGAAGAGATTTTTTGCAATTATATTAATGTTAAATTGGCATTGGGATATATGTCACATTATGGCATTAAAAGACTTACCAGAATGAAGGTGAACAACCCCATCCATGATTTCACTTCCTACACTATCCCTGTTTTGAACTTTGGAGAGAAGGGAATAGCTGAATTAATTTTTGAAAACCCCATATCTCACCTACCTCACCACTACCCTTTCTCTGGCTTTCCTTTTCTATCTTTCTTCATCATCTCACCACTTTGCATGGTTTTTTTTAGGTTACTACTTTCTATATGGAATCCAGGAAGGGCCAAGAGATCATCATCATCATCATCATCATCATCATCATCATCATCATCATCCAGACTGACAAAGGTTTGGAACACAATATGCCAGACATCATGATTGTAGAAAAGAAAAAAGTTTGGATTATTGATGTCGCCATACCAGGTGACAGTTGCATTGAGGAAAAACAACAGGAAAAACTCAGCCGTTATCAGGACCTCGAAATCAAACTGCAAAGGCTCCGGCATAAACCGGTACAGGTGGTGCCAGTGGTCATCGGCACARTGGGTGCCGTGCCAAAAGATCTCAGCCAGCATTTGGAAACAATAAATATTGACAAAATCATGATCTGTCAYCTGCAAAAGGCCACCTTATTTGGATCTGTGTGCATCTTTTGGAAATACATCATACAGTACTAAACGCTTGGGAAGTGTTCAACTTGTGATTTTGTGATACAAAATCCAGCATATATATCTCATTTSCTGTGACATACTGTGTTTTTGTATCAGTAAAATAATAATAATAATAATAATAATAACAATAATAATAATAATAATAATAATTCTATTTCTTACCCATCTCTCCTCATTGCTWGAGGSAAGTTACAGAAAAATTAAAATACATAAGCACCGCAAAAATACTGCTAATACACATTAAAACATACCTCTAAAAAGTTACACACCAAACGTATCTCTATAAAATACATATTAAAATACACAAAGCAGAGGTTAAACAAAGGGCCTACATTTAAAATTCATGTTCAAAGACTGTCTGGGTAGGCCTGCCCATTTTAAAATTCTGACAGCTCATTTAGCTGTCAAAGTTCTTCCGGCAGGTTGTTCTACAGTCATGGGGCGGCTGATGAAAAGGTTCTCTGGGTGGTGGTTGCCAATTGGTTTCTGGCTGGTTGAAGCAGACGCCATCCAGAAGACCGAAGTGTGCATGGTGGATTGCAATTCAGTTTCCCTGAAACAGGTGATGAACCTCTAAACACTGTCTGGTTTACAGCACATCAAGAATGTTTAAATGCAAGGAAGACTACTTGCAACTTCTTTGAAGATATCTTGTGACTCAAAATTCTAATTGTTCTAGTAAAAATACAGTTCATCCTATTTTTGTTAGCATTTTTTTCTTAATTCATAACTGGATTGATTTTAATCACTTGCTTCCAGTCACATTGGACTGGAGTTTGGATATAAGTAATATCTATCAGAATGAAAAACAGAATCTAGAGCAATAACAAATACTCTGGCATTTATGTGCAGAGAGTCACACTATGCCTATATACTAAGGGGAGGAACTACATCACAATTTCACCAGAATATGGGCTATGCATTTGCCCCTTCTCCTTGCTTGTATGTAAAGATTACCAGATAGAGCAGGAATCAACTACTGTATTGGGTCTGAGGGTCAAGTTCACATCCTACTGCTTCTGCTGTGGAACCAAAAATCAGAGGCAGACCTGAAAAACTGATAAAACAAGGAGATTGTAATGCATGCACTGGTAACCTCAAGGCTGAGCTTCTGCAGTGCACTATACATTGGGGTACATCAGTATCAAGTTTGGAAACTCCAGTTGGTTTAAAACATGGCACACAGATTGTTTACAGAAACATCTCGGAGTGAGCACATTACCTACATTAATGTCACCCAACTGGTTGCCAGTTAGTTTCCAGGCAAAGTACAATATATTAGTTATACTCTTTAAAGCCCTACATGGTTTGGGTCCAAGTTACCTTCTGGATTGCCTTCTCCCATAAATCCACCCCTCAGGACATTGAAGCCCTCTGGGAGACATTTACTCCAAGCAACTGTCACCCAGAAGATATTTTCATCACTGGTGGAATGAGCTATCGGAATTCAAGAAACAATTGAAGACCTATCTTTTCCTATCAATTCAACTTTAAATTGTGACTTTTAAATTTACATTTTATTCATATTCGTCTTCTTTTTCTTCTTCTTATTATTTGGTACACAGCAAGATTAGTACACAACAAAGAAGATCACTGTGCTGGCTTTCGTATTTGATCACACGCTGGACACTTCCCAAGTGTCTAGGCAAATAATGCCTGCAGATCTGAGTAGGGTGGCCTTCTGCAGTTGACAGATGGTAATTTTGTCAGCAGCGCTGATTGTTTTTAAGTGCAGGCTAAGGTCTTTAGGCACTGCATAAGGTCTTTAGGCACTGCATCCAATCACCACTGGGTTCGCGTGTGCCAGAGTCTTTGCAGTTCTGTCTTTAAATCCATGTATCGTGTAAGCTTTTCTAGTTGCTTCTCGTCAATTCTGCTGTCATCTGGGATTATAACATCAACGATCCATACTTGTTTTCTTTTCCACGATCGTGAGGTCAGGAGTTTTGTGCTCCAGAACTCTGTCAGTCTGAATTCGAAAGTCCTAGATGATGATGATGATTATTATTATTATGTTTGTTTCCAAAAATTGTTTTAAAAGGAAATTGCTGGTTTGATGCTGAAATTTGGCCACATGATTTTGGGGATAGGCTGGTGTCACAAGATGGTTGCCTTTGAAAAATACTCAGAAACTTCAATTGGTTGAAAGAGCCCAGACAGACTGCTAACTGGTGCTGGCTACAGGGAGCAGATAATTCCTCTGTTGCAACAGCTCCATTGGCTGCCAACACATTTCAAGACACAATTCAAAGTGCTGGGTTTGATCTACAACAGCCTTATATGGCTCCAGTCCAGGTTAGAAGAACCATATCTCCCTCTGTGAACCTAATAGACATTTAGGTACAATTCAAAGTTCTGGCTTTAGCCTATAAAGCCCTAAACAGTTCCGGTCCAGCATATGTGTCCAAACATATATCCCTCCATGAACTATCACAGAGATTAAGATCTTCTGGGGAGGCCCTGCTCTCAACCCTGCCTCCTTCGCAGACATGATTGGTAGGGACAAGAGGCAGAGCTTTCTCAGTGGTGGCCCCTCAGCTGTTGAATTTCCTCCCCAGTGATATGAGATCAGCCCCCTCCCTCCTGGTCTTCAGAAAGAAAGTGAAAATGTGGCTTTGGGACCAAGCTTTGTAGTGCAATAGATGGATATGGAATCTGTGAAACGACTACTGGAATGGCCTCGGATTACGATTGTGGATTGCATGGTTTTAATAACTGATGTAATGTTTTTAAATGTTTTATGTGATATTTATTTTAATTTTAATCTTATGATGTTTTTATGCCTTGAGTCCCCTTCGGAATTGAGAAGGGCGAGGTATAAATATGGTAAATAAATAACAAATACACTAGAGAGGGCCTTTTCTCTTTCCCACCACTTGCTCAAGTGTGTTTGGGGGAAACACTGGGAGGGTCTTTTCAATGGCTGCTCCCAGACTGTAGAACACCCTCCCAAGAGATCAGGATGTCCCCATCCCTACTGACCTTCTGCAGGCAGATTAAAGCCTTTGATAATAGATCAAGACATTTCTCTGCAGAAATAGGCCTGGGTAACAACGGAAAAATTTATTTCTAAAATCGATTCATTTTTGGGGGGTTTTTGCGTTTCGATATTTAAAAGAATTCCGAAATTTTTCTTTCGATATTTTCGTTCGATATTTACGAAATTTTGTAAATGTAAAAAAAAAACGAAACATTAACGAAACAAATACGAAACAATAACGAATCGATTCGTTAATGGCGGACGCGACCGCGCAATACGCTAAAAAACCTCCAAATGGGACAGGGGGAACTTCTGAAGCTTCCCTCTCCCTCTGTTGTTGACTGTTGGTGTGATATTATAATTTTTTTTTCACTAATTAAACAAAAAACAACTATAAAACTTGCCCCAGACATGCGGAAATAATAACGAAACGACCTCAAACGATAACGAAACGAATACAAAACTAATTCGAAACAATTACGAAACGAATTTAAAAATTCGTATCGTTTTTTAGTTGCTCCTGAATGGTTCGTTATCGCTTCGTTATAAAAAAAATAACAAATTTTTAACGAATTACGAAATTACGAAACGAAACCGCCCAGCCCTATGCAGAAAGGCATTTGAAGAAGGATAAGGTGTATGTCGCTTGGGAGGTTGTGGATGGGATTTTTGGGGGGATTATGTGTATTAAAATGCATTTCAGTGTATTTATTACATTTTAATTGTGTTTTAGCCTAACCCACACAGTACTATTTAATTATAGGGGGGGGGGGTTGCATTTGCTTTGTTTTAAATGGAGACCAAAGTGTGTGGTTGTTAGCTGCCTGGAAACCCCATGAAGAGAAAGGCGG